TAGGTAGTTATATTGTATGTCTACTCAAATACTCAATGGACTCATTGTTAAATAAATATTAAAACAACCTTACCTGAAATTTGAAAAAAAATTTTTTTATTATAAAATAAATGTGTGTTTGTAAAGTGTAGTTAATTTCAGGCTGGGACTAGCCCCCCCCCCCCCAAATTTATGTAAAAATAGGGGCTTGTGAACGGAACACTCTGCACGCCCGGTTTTTGCGGCACTGGATACAATATGTTTACGTAAATAACGTATATACATATTCACAGTATTTTTATAGTGACCTGCTTATTATGCAATATATAAAAAAAAATTTATAATTTATATTTTTTTTTAACATTTTTGTTAGATATTAGTCCATTTAGTCTATAACTAAAAAAATGTATCTTCCTCGTGAACTAATGTAAAATTAATATTAAATTTAGCTTAACAAATAGCAGAATAAATAGCAACTTATAGTATAACTATTATTATATGTAAACTATTACGTATTCAACACATTTTCTGCAAGTTATAGCAGAGATCATCGTAATGATTTTACAATAAAAATAATTTTAAAAACATTAGTTAAAATTCCAAACTAAATTCTTAGTAACATTTCACACTTTGTTTATTCTTAAATAGTTTAATGTGCTAACATTGTTATAATTGGACAATTTTTGTTTTTAACATTCGCGCTCATATCTTTTGGATTCTGGACAGAGGAAAGATTTTATATTTTAATCAGTATAAATGCCAGCGTTGAAATTATAAACAAAATTACATTTAAAAATAATAAAAATGATAAGTATCATTATAACCTAATCATAAACTCACATATAAGTATATGTTATATAATGTTATATACGTTTATAATAAAAAATTCTAAAATATTAATTGGCCACGTACCTAAACATACAAACAAATTCACTAGGCAAAATTATCGAAAAATACAGAAGTAAGTACGTCTAACTGAGTAAACCGACTCGTATCGACCATTATTATTTCGGCATTGACAACGTTCGCACATTTAATCACGTTGTTATATCTTTCGACTTCTCACCGTGTCTGTATAACCCGTGTTCACGAAAAATGGAAGAACAATGCAAACATACAGTCGTCAACAAACCCTTTTACAAGTGGTTTCATAAGTGTAACAAATGCGGAAGGAGAAAAATATGGAAACCGATCTCGAAATGCTCGGGCTGCAAGAGTTATTACCATCGCAGGTGCATACAGCTGGACGGCGACGCGTGCGACAAGAAAACGGATCACGTCAAATCGACGGCACTGAAAAATATATTGCTAACAGAAGTAGGCGCTACTAAACAGTTGATCTTTTCCCGGTTAACCCGTTTTCGGTGACTTTCTTAATGTGTAATCTCTCTGCTGGCCAGTACGCCAGCACCCACTGCAGCCTTATTCTGACAAAGAAATGTCGTAAACTCTGCTTATTATACAACTGTTGTGGGTTTTTCATTTGTTCTTCTCTGGAAACTTTTCAATTCATCATTATACATACCTATAATCACATATCAAGTATACTTCGAATCAATAATTATTTAAAGACGTCACTGCATTTAAGTATTTGTTCGTGACAAACTCGTATATTAGGCCTTTTTGATTAAATTATTGATCAAATATGAAGGTGGGATATTGATTGGTGATGAGCAAACCAAACCCAAAACCAAGACTATGGTAGTTAGTAGTAGTTAGTATATTATTACTATTATTATTTAATCTTGGTCTTGGAGAGCCATTGTACTCTATTAGCCATAGTATCAAGGGCGGCCATAGGAAAATTCTCAAGGGGGAACAAAATTTTATTTATCAATCTATTCATAAATAGGAATGACCCACGATATAGGAAGGGGTTTATAATTTTATATTATACTAATAAATTATATAAATCAAACTGGAAGAGTATAAAATAATAATTATTTAACCACTTTACAATAAAAGTAATTTATTCAAATTTTTATTTAATTAATAATATAAATTGGACACTTAGAACATTAGTTATATTTATTAAAATATTATATAAATATTATTGTGGTGTACACACACACATATTCATACCGTATTTCTGGAAATACACAATATTTTAAAAAAATTGATAATCGTTACACGGGGATGATATTAAATATTTTCATATTCTAACCTGATCAGATGACAAAAATGATCAAACTGCACGTAGAAAACATCCATGACATAACTCCCGAGGACGGTCACGTCGCCGAGAACTGTCCGGAGAAAAGCGCCGATGGTTCGTGCGCCTTGGAAACCTGCGATCCCGGTACCGGAATCGCGGTGCTGAATTCCGCGGACGTAGAAGACGAACGGGTGCCCAGTTCAGGTGGAAACGCCGAGGATGGAAATTCTTCTGGGATAACGGTCGACGAGAGCAGCACAGCTCCAGGAAACGACGGGACTATAAACGAAAAATGTTTTATAAATATCTTGGACCCCGGAGAAGATCTCGTCACCGAGAACTGCTCGAAAAGAAGCGCCGATGGTTCGTGCGCCATGGATGCCTACATTCTCGATACCGGAATCACGGTGCAGAGTTCTGCGACCGTAGATGACGAACTGGTGCCTAGTCCAGGTGGAAACGCTGAGGATGGGAATCCTTCTGGAACGACCGTCAACGAGTGTAGAGCAGTGGTAGTAAACAAAACCCGAGCACTAGCCAATATGATGTCATTGTCGGTTCAAGAACCGGCACGGAACGTTTTGAGTAAGGAGTGGCTTTATTTTTTCGTATTTTTCTCGTCCATTTGACGAAATCAACAAACAATAATTTTAATTATTAACAAAAAAAAAAAAATCCGCGTGGTGCAACACCGTGTAACAGCTGCAGATGTTTGCCCGTTCTACATTGATTTTTCTCGGAGCAGTTGGCCCATTCGTACACTTCTGATATGGAAGCCGATGGCGGACTGTGGCGATTCCAAGATTGCACTGCGCTTGCCACACCGCCGAACCAAAGCGGATAGATACAAAAGATGTGAAATCACCCAGGAAATGCCATTGGAGTAGTTACCGGTATTCTTGTTATATTTTACTCGTTCTTATTTTGTTCGAAAAACGTCAAT